GCTTGGGAATCCAGGGCTCATGGAGCTCGGGGGGCTTGAGTGGTAGCTCTGCACAGAGTCCGCAAAGCTCTCTGTGTCGATCTGGAAGCCCAGGGGAGCTGGGGGCCTCTCCTGTGCCCAAGATTACAAAGCTTATGCAGACGTGTGATCCCTGGGGACTCTCACTCATCCTTTCCTCACAGCTGGGAGCCTCCTCTGGCTCTGCACCAATCCTGGGTGGGCAGCTGTCCTGCCTTGCTTTTCTTTGCTTTCTGTGGGTCGCTGTTGCTTCCTTGATGAATCAAAACATGGCCTCCTGTATGATCCACTTGAAGAACTAGTGTTTACTTGCCACTCTGCCTCTTCTCCATGACAGCAGCATGCACTAACTGCTTCTAGTCAGCCATCTTGGCAAGTCAGCCATCATGGCGTTTCTTTTACTGACTTTCTTAATTATCTTGACAAAACACAGAATATTTCCTTGGCCAATTACCTAAAAGGTAAAAACAAAGCAAACAAACAAAAAGTCTTTTCACAATTTCCTATTAAAAGTAGACCAATACCTCAAGAAAAAGTTGTTTTAACATAGGGGATGAAATTCTAATTTCCCTTCATAGTGTTTTTGATATTAATGCTTAATTTTTAGAAAAATGTACAAATAGCACATCTAAGCTAGCTCAATCACATATAACACTTCTTTCCCAAGGTTCCTCTTCTACAGACTTTTTGTATTAGTCCATTCTCAATGAAGAAATAGCCAAGAATGGGTAATTTATAGAGGAAAGAAGTTTAATTGACTCACAGTTCCGCATGGCTGGGGAGGCCTCAGGAAACTTACAATCATGTTGGAAGGCAAAGGAGAAGCAGGCAGTTCCTCACAGGGCAGCAGGACGGAGTGAGTGCAAGCAGGGGAAATGCTAGATGCTTATGAAACCATCAGATCTTGTGAGACTCACTCACTATCATGAGAACAGCATGGGGGAAACCACTCCCATGATTTATCTCCACCGGGTCCCACCCTTGACATGTAGAGATTATGGGGATTATAATTCAAGATGAGATTTTAGGTGGGGACACAGCTAAACCATATCACTTTCTAATATCCAGTCAGTTTTTTTCTCCCCCTATAGTTCTTTCTCGGTTTGGATCAATCATTCTACTTTAGAACAAAAATTTTTCTCCTTTTGTTTTAACAGAGCAATACACATCCTCATAACTTATGCTTTTCCTTACCAAGAGCACATCTTACCTATATTGTATACTTGCATATAAAATAGTTTTCCTTATTATTTCTAGTAATTTTAGTTACGTATTTTAATTAGAATTCTTAGCCCTTTATGACCTTAATTTCTAGTGAATACTAGGAAGAAAGCAAGTGTGAATATCATACCAGCAGTCTATAGATTAGAAAATCTGTGGATTATAATTCTAGGAGCATGTACTGTTTTATAATGCATTTTTTTCAGTGTGGCACAGAACATTTATTAACAGTCCCAACTGTCTTTAGTCTCTCTGTGGTAAGAAATGGTAGAGGAAGCAAATTTTTATTTCTATCTTGTTAGGGCTTTTTTTTTCCCCTGTCCTTCGTAACAATATTAAAAGTTTCTAGTCTAGCAAGGACATTTTTCACATGGGAATTCTATCTTACCTCTATTTAACACTTGCTTTTAATAATTATGCTTGAAATGCTCATAAAGATGAGATATTAAATAGCTAGCCAACACCTTAAGTTATTTTTCTTGCTGACAAGTTATGTCACATAGAGATAGCATGAACTTTTTTTACTAAATAAACCTGGGGAAGAAGGGTTGTGCATCTGTATTATACTAAATGCTGACAACTCTGAAGGTATGCCTACATTAATCAAGCCAATATACTTTTATTAGCTACTATTTACCAAAGATTATCCAAGATTATGTAAACATGAAAAATATTTTAGGTTTGTTTCTAAGGGTTTAAGGAATACCTATTTCATGTAAGAACTTATTTTTCTTTAAGCCAATTAAATAATTATCTTTTACAATTTAATTTTGGCAATACCATAAGGAAAAAGAAATATATTACACATTCATAACATACATACTGACATAGATAAATATAAACATAAAAGCAAATCTTGTAGTATTCATTTAAAAATTTTAGCCCGGTGCCAAGTACAGTAACACAAAGCTCCCTAATATGTTAAAGGATATCTGGAAGTGAAGTTTTTCTGGCCCATGAGACAAGATTACATACCCAGATGGCTAAAGCTTTTGACTGATATTTGTAGAAAAGACTTAAGATTTTTTCGATTCGCCTTCTCTAAGAAATCTTTTAAAGAGGAAATCTTTGATTCATTTAACATCTTAGCTGTTTAATACTTCTGTGTATCAATTAAAGAATGTGTCCCATTGCTTTTGTGGTACGTCGGATCCTTTCTTCCCTAATGTGCCTCACAAGCGATCAATTTTATCTTGGTTAACACTTCACTGTGGCCACTGTAATTCCTTCTTGTCCTTAGTGAGGTTAACAGGTTTAAAAAAAATGCACAGGTTCTGGGGCCATAATTTTTGTACATAGAGAAAATTTTGCTTATTTTTGGTGTTTTTAAAGAGGTAAACATTGGGTTGATATAAGAAGCTAGCAGGCAGCTTCACTGATATTTCTTTAAGGCAAGTTTTTCTTTTCCTTTTTCTTTATCATTGTCTTCATCTTCTCTCTCCTTTCACTCCTCCTCTGAAGGTATTCCGGAAGAAGATGGAAACATGTAGGCAATAGTCTTTCCACCACTGGAGATGTTCTATCATATTCAGAGAAACTAAATGAGATATACCAGAATCCTCGCATATTCAAGTCCTGCAGTTGGCCCTGTAGAACCTTCATATATACAAAAGCCCTTCATATATGCAGATTTCCATTCCTGCAAATACTGTATTTTCAATATGTGTTTGGTTGAAAAATATCAGCTTAGAAGCTGATATTATAAGCTTGTAAACTGACATTTTAAGCAGACCTATGCAGTTCAAACCCATATTATTCAACGGTCAACTGTATATTTACAGGTCACCTTTCATCTGAAGGACTTTCATGTCTACTACACAGGATGTTATAATGATCTATTGTCAAAAATGTTCTTTGCAACTTATAGAAACATGAGAGTACAGCTTGTGTGGCTCAACAGAATTCTGATAAACTCTAGGATTAAAAAGAGAGAAGAAATAAAGGCAGGGTTGAAAAATGAGAAAGAAATGATAGTCTTTTAGACAAGGAGTTAAGTATTCAATTCACCATATTTTTGAATTCTACCAAGCTTTGGAACACTCTCCTTGGCCCAGAAAATCTATCAGGAAACCGTACTTGAGCTAGGCTGCAAGTGAATGTTTGCTATACTTTCGATTTGTTATGCTCCTGTGTAGGAGAGAAAATGCTAAGCAAATATTTGCATATTGCACTGTAAGGAAATAAAAAATGCATTAGAAGTGAATCAGTTGACCTCATGTTGTTTCATTAGAAGTAATTTCTTTTGGATTGTCTCTTTGCCTATAAATGTTCTTCCTTTGCATCTTAACAACAACTCTGTCATGAGTAGTCTGTGACTAGCTTTATTTTTTCCACTTTTGCTCCCCATGAATATGGTAAGTACCTCTCCCACTCTTTATGGGGCCTGCGTTTTACATCCTGCAAAGACCAGTTACATTTAATCCGTCCTTTTCTTTAGAGGAACATTTCTCAAATTATCTCTAATTTTTCGGTGTTTTACAGTAAAATGGATCAGGTCTAAGGGTTCTCTAAGATAATTTAGCATTTGACATTTTTATTTTTATAGCAATTGAAATACATCAATAAAACATATTCAGAAAGGGCATTATATCAGACACTGCTGGCCTATTTTAGATTTTGTCATTTTTTATCATAGTTAGTTTTTGACCTTAATAATAAGTATTATTTTAGTTATTGCCAGTGAGTGATAGGATAGAGCTTAACTAAATGCTTAAATGATGTGCCTGGATCCCCGCATAGATCCACAGTTATTATATTCCTTAGGGTTTTGCTATAGCTATATAGAGGAAAGGGAATTCAGTCATCCCAATGCACATGGTACCCTGGGCATGCCAAACTCAAAAGAATCTATACTACAGCAGCTATATGCACAATGTAAGTACCAATTTAGTTTCACCAAAAATCATCACTTTGTATTAAATTCGTATCGTTGATTGGAATTTTACTGGCCGACCTTTTTAAGTTTTGTATATGTTAAGATTCTACAATTATATACAACTCTAAGTGTAAGAAAAGTTATTTCTAGTTTTATGTGGGTGCATATATAGGTAATATAATAAAAAATAATTTAGGTTGAAGGTTTATGTGGTAACTTTTCTCCTTATAAAGGTTTTTTCCTGGAGTGATATCATTAAAACATTCAAAACAGATTTTATGAAGTAACTACTGACACTACGGAAAAGAGCTAAGCTCCATTCTGATTTGTGCAGAGTGACTGGGTATTCAGGGAGAATAAGGGAATAGGAAAGAGGAACAGCAGGGGCCTGAGCAGAGTCAAGGAAGTGAAAAATTACAAAAATCAGAAAGTGGAGGTTGGTCCCTGTAAACCCATGTGGGTTTGTTAACTGGTGCTCATCAAAGTTAGACTCCTAACCTTCTTTAGAGATTGGGAGACAAGAGCCCTATCTTCAGGCATTGACTGGAGGAAACAGTCAATTCTTTTGTCTACCTTGAGCTGATCAGGCAGGAACTTTAAGGGATGGGAGGGTAGGACCATCCTAGGGTTGTGGCCTTAGGCTTTTAGAAACTATTAATACATGCATGTTTGTTAAAGTCTTTATAGGTCAATGTTGAGGCTGAGCTGAAAAGAGTGCTCAGAGGAACCTGGAGAGACTTTGGTTAAAGAGAGGATCTTTGTCAGTGATAATTACAGTGTGGCACTTTCTGATAAACAGTGACTGCTATGTTTTAACTGTTGTTAAGTGAGCTTAATTTTACTATATTAGCTGAAAAAATATGAAAGATTATGCTCTTCATTTCAGGGCCGAGATCTGGACTATAAAATTCAGGAATATAAAGAAGCTGGAAAAATCTTTCCAGATAACCAAATAATAGAATGGTTTATCCAACTGCTGCTGGGAGTTGACTACATGCATGAGAGGTATGTTCATTTGCTACTAGGAATATGATATATTTTTAACAGTCATGTCTGAACTTGAAAAGTGAATTTTTTTCTATAATTGAAAGAAAACAAGTTCAAAAAATATATGATTGTAATTAAACATCTATAATATGTTTTTCCTTGAGAAAACTGTTGAATGATTATATCTAGAGGATTTATTTGCATAGTTTTTTGTTGCTTTTCTAAAACTCAAGTTGGCCATGAATATAAGATAGAAATTTGTGTTAAACACATTTCATTATATCTGATCATCTCCTATGAATTACTGGAAGTTCTCAGATACTTTTGGCATCCTATGAATTTATTGTATCTTACAGCAGACTTCAGTGGTAGATATCTTAGTATGCCGCAAATGAATTGTGTGGTCACCTTGGAATGTGTCAGTGCACACTTAGCTGGGTTCACATCCCAGAAGAGCTCAGTAATTGAGACAGAATGTATTCTTTAGCCTCAGAGAGATAAGTATTCAGATAGAAAGTCAGTTTTGATGTGAAGTATCTGATAACGAAGGTCAATTATTTCGATTATCTGTGATTTACATTTACAATCTCTGCCTCAAAAATGTATTTTAAAACTTTTAATGAATTTTTATAGGTCAAAAGTAAGAAGTTTTAGAAGTTAAATGTTTTAGAGACCCAAAAATGATATGAACACGTTTGAAAAGATGAACATACATAGACAAAAAAGAAGTGGATACTCTGAGGTGTATATGGTAGCTTTCATCTTGGGAGTGGGCATTAACACATGGTACCATTCTTCTTGAATGAAAGGGGTGATTTATAAGGCACACCAAGGTCTAGCTATCCATGGATGTCAGATTGCTTAAATGTGTCATCTGTACTTTCTGACAGCATAAAAAGTAATCGGATTATTTTGTAATTTGCCATGTATCTCCTAAAACACATGCTTGTTGATACAGATAGCTACTGATTTATTGACACCTCATAACAATCTGTTGGATGATGTCAAACTATCTTAAGAAATCTTTTATTAAAAGATTATTTGACTTAAAAGAATCAAATAATCTTTTAATAAGGTACCCAAAGCTACTGACTATAAAACGTCTGTGTACATACATTTATATTGGTGTTTCTTTTATTTTCTTTACTACTTCTTAGCATATTGTTAGGTTACACACAAGAAAAACAACTAAAAAAAACCCACATATTAAGATGCTAACTATTGTATTCTATGCACAAAATACAAAACTGGAATCTGGTTGATTTAAGAACCCAAATAGTTTTGATACCTTTAAGACTGCTTAGTAATAGTTCAAATAATGAGTTTAAAATAACCCTTCAAACAAAGGCTTATGATTTTTAAATCTTTTAATATTCAAAGAAAGCCATTAAATGAGACTAAATATTTGGATATTTGTGAATCCTTGGATTTGAAATACAATCCTTTGTGATTCAGGTAACAAGTGATGGTGCTTCTTAGTCATTGTGTTATTATAACCAATTATTGTAAAGTTTTTGTGTACAGAGAAATTACAGTTTCATATTTCAGTTCATCAATTCCCTCGTTAGATAGTGATAAATTAAAAATAAGTGTCAACCTCAAAGAGCTGTCAGTAAGCGAGCAGACATAAAACATGTACTCTTATAACTATAAGCCATGTACCATGGTGGATGTACATGATTAAGTGTCTCCACTATTCACTAGATTCATGATCTTGAGCAAGCTGGTCATGAAAGCAAGCTCTCCTCTCTGAACCTGTTTCCTCATCTATTAGGTTGGTGCAAAAGTAATTGTGGTTTTTGCCATTACTTTTAATGACAAAAGCCATGACTGTTTTTGCACCTACCTAATATAAAGTAAGGATAATAATAGGACTCTCCTTGCTTACATTATAGGGTAGAAAATATGCGTTGAGATATTATACAGTTTAAAAATTTGCAAAATGTTAAGCTCTGTGTAATGTCTTTATAATTTAATATAGAAATGAAAGCACAGACATCAAAAGCGGATTTAAAAACGATGACAGTAACAAGTGTTAGTAAGCATATGGCGCACCTGGAATTCTTTTATATTCTTAATGAGTATACATTGATATAAACACTTTTGAGACATGTTTGGCAATACTTCCTAAGCCAAACACGCAAATACCTATGACCCAGTAATTCTATTCCTAAGGGTAGAAGTGAGTGCTGATGTCCAACAAAAGGTATACAGAAATGTCCATAGAAGCTTTTTTTGTAATTGCGAAAACACTAAAAAATATTCATCTACAGTGGAATGGTTACATAAGTGTGGTATGGCCCTATAGTGGACTTTTAAAATTACTATTCTATAATTTTAAAACAATAGACAATTGATAATAAGCATGACCTGGGTGAATCTCAGAGATCAGATGTAGGATGAAAGAAACCAGTTGCAGAAGAGTCTATACTGTATGACTATATTTATATGAAGTTCAAAAGTAGGCAAAACTAATCTAAGATAAGTCAGAATAGAGATTATATTAGCAAAGGGGTTTTGCCTGGAAGGGGCACAAAGAAAGCTTCTGGGATGTTAGAAATGTTCTATAGATTAATCTGGATGGAGGATTACAAGAGTGGTACATATGTTGATATATATGTAAAAAATCATCAAATTTAAGATTTTTGCATTTTAATGTAAGTTATACTGTAGTTTAAAACAAGTGATAAAAGTGCCAAGAAGAGTACAATTTAAGTGTTACAGGAGATCAGAAGAGAGATAATGTTTTCATTTGGGGAATCAATGGAGGCTTCTTGGAAGAAGTAGCACTTGACCCAAGGTAGGTTTTGAGTATGATGAAAAATGGGTCAGAGCTTTCCAGATGTAGGGAACAGAGCACAGCCACAGAGGTGGAAAAACATGGAAATCTTAGAGAGAATGGTGAGTGGTTCTGTTGGGAAGGCTCTTGGAGTAATGAATAACGTTGTTGGCAAAGGTAGGCTGAGGTCAAGAGGGCTTTATTTTGGAGCATAGACATTGAACTCCACAAGAGCTTTTTGAGTGGAGTTATATAATATTGCCAGAGCTTGCTTCAGGAAGGTAAGATGATAAATTATACCAAGGAGAGAAGATAACTTGGGTTATCAGTCAAGAACCTTTTGTAATATACATGTGTGAGATTGTAAGGCCTAAACCAAGCTGGCAGAAGTGGGTAGAATGAGGAAGGATAATAATGAACTCAGTAAGTTGAAATGGCTGGACTTGAAATTAAGTTGATCTGTGACATGTGATAGAAGGTCAAAGATGAACCTGAGGTTTTGTGCCTGGATGAATGAGAAGTTGGAAAGACAGGTTTGAAACAATGGTGATGAGTTTAATTGTGAATATGCTGGGTAGAATATGGAGAGAGAAGGAGAAGAAGAGGGAGGAGAGAGAGAGAATGCGAATGAGAGAAGGAAGTTAGAAGTGAGACCCTGGATCTTAGGGAACCATCAGGGCTTGACTTTGTTTGGGTTCCTACAATATCAGAGCCCTGAAACAAAGACTAGGGTACAAATAGATTTTTTAGGAGGTAGTCTTAGAAAGCAGAAGCCAATGAGTGGGAAGAGTGAGAAGAAGCCAGAAAAGCTGTGCAGAATGCATGATTGAACTAGTGGCTGCTGTGGGTAGAGGGATGCAAAGGCAGGACTCTTCTAATAGTGTGTTAAGTTTTGGATTTCTCTTCCTGCTTTCTCTCCTAGACTTGTTTGGGAAAAAAAAAAAAAAAAAAAAGGCAGGCCGGGCACAGTGACTCACTTGTAATCCCAGCACTCTTGGGAGTCCAAGGCAGGTGGATCATGAGGTCAGGATTTTGAGACTAGCCTGGCCAACATAGTGAAACCCTGTCTCTACTGAAAATACAAAAAATTATCCGGACATGGGTGGTGAGTACCTGTAATCCCAGCTATTTGGAGCTGAGGCAGGAGAATGGCTTGAACCTGGGAGGCGAAAGTTGCAGGAGTCGAGATTGCAGCCACATTGCACTCTAGCTTGGCGACAGTGGCAAACTCCGATCTCAAAAAAAAAAAAAAAAAAAAAGCAACCTTGCTTAAATATAACTATTGTTTTCTAGCACTATTATGAATTTCCTCTTGAAAAATTTCTTGTGTTTCTGGGAATTTGAAGTGAGGAGGGGAAGGAAGGTGTCTTCCTCTTGATCCAACTTTAGAATGGTTTTTAAATGGAGCAGTTACATATATATATATTATTCCTGATTGTAAATGTGTAATCTGTGTTTCACTTCTGTTGGTTTTCAATATTTAATTTAGGATAAAACATATTTCCTTCAGAAAATAAACTTATTTATCTTAATTATCTGATTTTAAAACATTTTAAATCCAAAAGAATGATTTTTTTAGCATATGGCATAAACATTTATAAATAATGATGTTAAAAAGCCAAGACTATTCACAGCTCACTGATAGCTACTTTGGGAATGTAGCACTAAAACATGTTCTTGCTGAAGGGAGTCATGCTGTATTAACAAAACTCCAATGTCAGTGGCTTACAGCAGCAATCATTTCCTGCTCATGTTGCATATTGACAGATAGGGGTCATCTGCAAGTCTGCTCTACATGTCTTCATTCCAGTACCCAAACTGAAGGAGCAACCCCTATCTGGGATGGGCTTTACTCCTGGTGGAAGGAAAAGCAAGAGCGCGGAAACCCCTTGCTCAGACATGACAGTCATCCAGTCTGTTCACATGTCATTGACCAGAGAAGTCACATGACCACTCCTAATGTCAGAGGTGTGGGGATGCCTCTTCCTCCCAAAGGGAGCCCTCACTGCAAGGAATAAGAAGTGTGAATACTTGGGAACAAGAATGAGTCTACTACAATGTTTCACTCAGTTTTAAACTAAAATCTTTCAAATTACAGCTGATAAATGTAGGCTTGTCTACAAAGCATTATTCTAGTTTTCTCCTTGTATGATCTACAGTATATATTAAAGTATATTTTGAAAATTACATAAATTGGCTTACATATGAGTTAAGAAGATTACCTTGGACACAATACATG